AAAATTAAATGGTATTGGCATGAAGGACTACTAACTGCCTCAACTTATTAAAAACAGTGCCACGTCATGCCAAAAAAAGTTAACCCATGTAACCACTGCAATCTAATATAATGAGGACTAATATTTTCTCTGGCTACTAATCAGGATTAGTAAGCAGAGCCAATTTACACTATAGCTTACAAACTAAGGGCAATATGTTTATTGAAACATTCTAAAAATTTAGTCTACTCTTAACCAAAGAGAGTGTTATGTTCCAAAAGAACTGCTTAGCAATTCCAGTGTCAGACAGTATTACAGCTGTAAGAGATCCTAGCAAATATCTTGCCTAACACCCTCATCTAAACATAGGAGAACCAAAGAACAGCAAAGTTAAATGGTTTGACAAAAGCACACAGATAACTAATGGCAAAACTAAGGTCAAATATAATATTGAATGATCATCTTTGAGAGAATACATTTTGATTAATTTGCGACATTGCTAAATGAATTGACATAAACCAAAAGTTTGATCTGTGGATCAGTCTCCTGTTTGGAAATGAACGAATCCTTTGAGTGTTTTCAAATTGCTATCTTTTCTATTACGTCATTTTTTATTTCATTAATTGTAAAATTGACTGCTCTGTTGGTTGAGGAAAGCTGACTCTTCTCTGTATGTCAGCAGAATTGAGATTTCTCTTTTTTTGTCCTGGTCAAATAGTAACCCCAATAAACAAAGAACACAAATAACAACACAAAGAGGGCAAGTTTTTCCTCACAAGATCTGGGATGTTGTCCTCTTCACACTCTCACATGTAACATTACCTCCCCTGTCTCTTGGTCACAGGGTCCCACTGATGCTGTCAAGACTATAGAGGCAACTGACCACGATCTTCCTCATTTTTTTCTTTCTCAAGCACAATCAATAAGAGTCTTCAAAATCACAGCAACATAAAATGAATGACTCAAAACCCCTTTGAAATTTGTAATTGCATATTTACTTGTATGATTGTTTAATTAATGCCTGTTGATCACACCAGATAGTAACCTTCTTGAAGACAGGGGATATATATTTTCTACTCAGTATTATATCTTCTACTCCTAAGAAAGATGCCTGGACAACTCAAATTCTTGATAAATATCATTGAATGGATACATCACTGTTCTCAATGTGTGACGTCCAGGTCAATAGTATCAGAATCACCCAGACACATATTAGTAATACATATTCTTGGACCCCACTCCAGACTTACTGAATTAGAAATTCTGAGTTTAGAGCTCAGCAATCTGTGTTTTACAATCCCCTCAGATGATTCTGAAATATGCCAACATTCAAGATATCCTTCTCACCAAGAGTGGCCACACAGATCTGGTGGGAAAATAGTTCCCAAAGATGGCAGATGACTATCTGGATACTGAAAAACAATGCAATGACCCAGGTTGTATGCATTATATTCCTAATTGATTATACCCTTTCCTGTGGAATCTAATAAATCCTCTTTTTTGAGTTCTTATTTCCCACAACAAAGGGAGGAAATTGTTCGTACTGCTTAGGAGAAAATGATAACCTAAGACATCCGGCCTGGTACTCAAATCCCTGGAGTCCCAGTTAGCAGAGATTATACCTCCTCATGTTAGCATGTTTTAGTCAAAACTAGGCAAAGGAACTAAAGTTTAACTTCCTGATAGCCTCTTCCAGCCTATTTAGAAGTAATGCCCTTGAGCCTTGATTCTCTTTATTTGGGTCCTGGGGGTATCTTGGTAAATAAGTTACTCACACCTGAGCTGGGACCCAACTTTCTCTCTGGAGTGAATAAGTGAACTCCAGTGGGCAGATACTATCATTATCTTTGATTCCTTTAGAAGACTCAGAAACACTAACCAGGTAGCCTTTTGGGTAGGACCCTTCTTGCCCTTTCTACTAGCCTAAACACCCACCACGCACACAGATCACATGCCTCCATGGTGTGCTTTTCTCCTGATTCTTCAACAACTCTGATTCTTGAGACATGTGGCAAATTGCTAAAATATTCATTGATAAATTTGTGTTGTATTTTTCACAGCATTCACATTTTGAAAACAATTTGGCATGAAATAGAAAGTTTAGCATCTTTGTAAGATGGCTTAATAACACAGTAAAATATTTGCATATATACTTAGTCAAATCAAAAATATTAGAAGAAATCTACAAGGAACATATATCAATTGCTTCCATTGTGTTTAGTAAAAAAAAAAAAAATGGACTTGGGAGAGCACTAGGTAAGATTCTACTATTTCTGAGGTGGGTTACCTGGTTTGAAATAATCTCTGTGTGTTCCATTTTTAATTACTCCCCTACTCTTCTGGTAAAAGTACTCAGGAAGAGAAAATAAGTTACGAAAATCGTGTTTTCCTTTTAGTTCTATGTTTTATCTTATATTGAACAAAATGTCTCTACAAAAGGATAACACTTGTTAATGATGTCTAAAATTTAATTTTGAATTTTTCTAATATCATTCATACATGGGCAGAGGGACATAAAATTCCTAGGTATCTTAAAAGTGAATTAATTGTTAGTGGTTTTAGAAATTCCATTTCATGTTTTGGTTTAGGTTAGCATCTCATAATTTCATAAAGTAAATAAATTTATATAGGCAATAATTTATTTGCTCATATGGGAGTTTTGATAATGTAGGAGCATTATTATATATAATGATAAATAATACAGGCAACAAAATCTTCACTTAAGAAAGCAAACACCTGGTGAACTGCCATCAAACTATGTCAAGAAAAGTAGATTCTACTTGCATTGTTGCAACGTTTTGGATATGATGTTTGTACTTGATCTTAATTAAGTGCAAATCTGCTGATCTGGGCTTGTGAGTGTATTATTTGTTAATTTTGTGATTGAGTATTATTAAGGAGACTATTCTTCTCAAGCCCATATTTGTATGATAGTGTTTCTGACATCTCACCTTGTGTTTGATATTACATCGGTCAGTGCTATGCAAACTGAATTGTACCATTTTGAATAATAAAGAACTAAAATAATGTAATGTATATAAGCAATTGAAAAAGAAGACTAACCAGAAAAGGATAATAGGCTTTTGAATTTTTAGACCAGTGTGAATCATACCAAATTCCATTTATTTCTATACTCTGTTCTTTTCATAAACAGTTCTCCTTCAGGTAATAAGTTTTAGGAATACCACTATCTAACAATGCATTCGAAAGCTGTGATCAGCCACTGACAATTTGAAGTAGTTGGGACCGGGCCAGCTGCTGCAGGATATAACACAAACGTGAATGTGAAAAAAATGTAAGCAGCAATGTCTCAGCTGGTGAAAGCACAGAAAAATTGCAGAGCAGATGAAAAGGTGAGACAGGAATGTTCACATGAATAAATGCATTTTGTCCATTAAGACTAGCCCACCACAAAGAATTCTCCTTGCTGGTCTACTTTATGGACTCTATCTGGGATTGTGTAGAAAGGAGAATGGTTTGGTCTCCAAATTGCATTATCAGAAACATGAAATCCTTAAAGATAACTCTAAAATTGACCAGAGTATGAAAGCCTTCTGCCATACAATGTGAATGCCACTGGCAAAAAAATGAATAATAGACTCGCACTCAGGAAAGGACCAGATAAATAAATCTAGCTCATTTTCCTTCACTTTGGGGTTTCTAGGTAAAGGATACATTTAATCAAAAGCAGAGCTTTAAATATGAAAACTATTTGATAATTCTATCATAAATATGTAATAAAACATGAGACTAAATCTGTACATAGTGTTATGATATATTCATTCACAATCTCAACTACTGAACGATCCATAAGACACTACCAATGATTTCATGTTTTTAAAAACCAATTAATTTCCCTTGTAACATAGAATATATTATCCACCGTTTAAAGAAAAAAATCCATAAAGAAAATTTTTTATCCATAGAAATGAACAAACTGAATGAAGGGCTTTACATCGTCAAAAGTCAATTATTTTTAGTAGCTTGCAGAGGAAAAGGATCAGACTGATGTAACTCACGCAGTCATATGTAGGCAAGTGCACTTGACCTGGGGAAAAATTCTGTCTGCTTTGGCATTTCTAATTCAAGTAAAATATTTTACAGACTCAGTTTAAACCTAAGTTGAATTTGAATAGGAATTTTGTTGACTACATTTTGGGACCATAATTGTCTTGTGAAAGTTTAGAATTCTAGTACTTGAATTATGTTTAGAACCTAACAGAGACCCAGTAAAAGAAATAATTAGTAAATGTTAAAATAATGTAAGAAAACCCATGGAGGGCATTTTTCTTTTAAAAATATCTTAGATTCAATGCAGAAGGTTACTGGATTTCAGACAACAATGGACATTTATAGCAACTAAATCAAATAGCAGCTGGTTGTTACATATTTTGCACATTTGACAATGGGAGCCTTTCTGAATTGATATGACTGTTATTTTTAACCTTTGAAAGCATAAAAAGATATATTTTTCCAAATAAAAATGGTATTCACAAGGCATCTACTGAAATAAGTTTAAAAAAATAATGATAAAATGAAAGTATTCAAATCCCTTCATCAAGTTATAAACACATCAATCATTTCGATAAAAAGAAATCACTTTTAGTGGTAAGAGGACAGTTAATATTTTAAATCTATTCATTTCCATGTGGCAAAACTCTAAATTCAAAGTTTTGCTTATAACCAAAAATAATAATTACTTAGCAAAGAGTTTCTCAGAAGATCAACTCAATAAATAATGTCTATTTGCAAACAGTGCTACCATGTGTATGTAATAATTCTGCAACATTGGAACACACACATCAGGCAGCTGCTCAGCTCATCAACACTGACTGAGTACTTACAGTGTGCCCCGCCCAGAGTCAGGTGGTAAGCTCTGTGCTACTTGAATCTACGATGGTTCATCAATCATGGTGTTTGCACTATATAGTTAATATTTTTCTATTACTCCCCAAATGAATACTGGCCTCTTTACATGATTTATTTAAGTAAGTAAAAGAGTGTGTCCAATTCTGGATTACCTCACATTTATTTAGCAGCCCAGTTTCTTGTAGTCGTGACCAGATACTCTGTATTCGTCCAGCATGTTCAGGGTGGGTGGTGGAATTGCCACAAACGCACTGGTGTTTCAGCATCAAGGGGTCATAGGCAATTCCTTCAAGACAAGGGAAATACAGCACAAGATTGAGTAATGATACAAGATAATGACATGTTAGGATATAATACGATAACTCCAAAAAAGTCATTATTCTTAAAATAAATTTAACAAAGGGGGAAATAATACGTAACAAATTCTCAGGAGCACATAAGAACTATTTAGTCCTGTCTATCTGGATACTTATGCAAAAACATGAACTCATGCATTAACCAGTACAGAGAACCTAGTTTAGTAAATCTGTAAAGTGATGAAGATGATGACATTTTAAGACACGTCAGATTAAATATATATATAGAGTAATCTTACGAGTATTTTAAATCATTATGAATTGTTTTTAGGCAGATAATTGAATTCAGCAGAGGTTTTAATTTCACCACACCATTGGAGCCACAAAATGAGCTGGCTCTTTACATCTTTCATGAGTAATTCTAGCCTAACTTTAGTTCGTGGTTTTATTTTTGTAATAAAATGGAGGATTTTCCCACTGTTTGCCTATCCTGTTTAGTAATTTCTTCAAGGCTGTTCAAAAACAGTTTCTTTGTTTATTTGTGTTTCTTACCACCATTTATGTCATTATGTAACCAATATGGATGTTGTATATCTTATAATATTGTGGGGCATTTAAAGTGTTTCTTTTAAAAAATAAATGTAAATTACAATGCCACTACTAGAGATTATACAGATACCAATGAATACAATCTTTTAAATTATCAGGTATTAGCATATTTCATTTTCAGGCAGGCCTTATGATGAGAAAGATTTTATAATGACATGATGAAACTAATTATTAGCAGAACTTAAAGTAGAACTTTTTAAAGTAACAAGTTAGATGATAATTATAACTCTGGCTCATTTAAAGAAGATTTCTACCCATAAACCTATTCCTTGAGGTGGAAACATGTTACTTGCAAAATTGCCTGACATAAGAAATTATTTAACAAATCAAATGTCTTCCAATAAGTGACCATTGAAGTTTATTTGTAGATGGCAAGAACACCCATTATAAGAAGTTTTACAACAACCAAAAAACATCTTCAGGAATAGATAAGCACAAGTAATTTATGCTGTAAAGGAAGTTTAATTAAATACATTTTATTCTTCTTTTGGCTTACATTATTGTGTTAAAGAAATGTTACTCAAGAGAAGAAAATATTTTTCCTTGAGTGTACTAAAATAATGCAGAAGAATGGCACATGCATTTTGAAACCATGTGGTAAAAATTATGTCTTAGAAAAAAATATAATCTTACTATTCCAAATAATATCTATTCTTAGGACTCAAATGGCTTCAAATTCCATCCATCTTCCCCTGATTCTCACATTTTCTTCCTCAGGACTGACCTCCCTTACGAGCAGCTTACTTGCACACTTACCCATTGAATGACCCATCCGAAATCTCCACTTAGTTGTCTCATAGTTTTCATAAAGTGAAAATGTCTCTGATTTTTAATTCATGATCTTAAACCACACATGGCACTACTCATGTTTACAAAAGACATCAAGAACTGCCATTGTTCATACGAGAAACCTTAATGACCCCTTGATGTCCCCACCTCCAATGAACCAAAGCAGTGTCTGTTTTCCCTCCAAAACAGATCTTGAATCCCTCACTCTCCTTATCTCCACTGCCAAAACCATACGCAATTCAAGGTTTTATTATCTTTAATCTGGGCTCCTGAGATTGCCTTGTAACACACAACCTGACTTTCACTCTTTTCCATTTGCCATACAGCAGTGGCCACTTCTGCTTAAATCCTTCAGGGCCTTCACTGAAGAGACTGAAATTCCTCCGGGCCAACATAAATATGCCCCTCCCCATCTTTCCAGCTTCATTTCATATCCCTCCCTCTTTTGTTCTCTATTTTGCCTACAAAGGCCTTCCTTCCTTTCCTCAAAAAGATCAAAATCCTAGCAGCCTTGTGATATTCATACATGCTATTCCCTCTATGCCAGAAATTCTTCCTTCTTGACCTCCATAACTCCAGTCCTCATTTGGCTAATTTTGTTTCACTCTTCAAGGCTGTTTTTAATGCAACCTCCTCTACCAAGCATACCCTGAGATCTCTAGATTAGGTCTCCTACTATACGCTCTCTTAGCGCCCTCTAGGTCTCCTTCAAGCATTTGTCACTATTATATAATTGTTGTATAATTTTGTTAATTGTCTATTTTCTTCACTAGACGGTGAGATCTTTGAGAGCACAGATTATAGTTGTATTTTTACCTCTGAAATTTCAGTGGCCATCAACATGCTTAAATAAAGCAGGTCCTCAAAAATATTTTTTAATGAGTGAATGAAAACCATAAATGAATGAATATATCCCCAAAATAGTTCAGGTATTTCCACTGTAAAGCTTTCCTCAATGAATCTAATTGGTGGATCTCCTTGGATTCCTGAAGAGGAGTCTTGTTTAATCTTCTACCTTTTATTTTATGTCCCTTATCGTCCTACCCTAAGTGCTTCTAATATAGGCATTTATTTTACTCAGCTTTATATTTCTACACGGAATTTCACAAAGTCCTCTTTTTACGTTTTGCATAAAGTCCAATATGGATAAATATTTTTAAATAAAGTCAGAAGGAAGATATCAAGGAAGGCAGACAAGGAAGCAGGCAAGCAGGAAGGAAGAATAACATTTAAAATACAAAGATGTGTAAGACATGTCTTCACAATTTAAATATATCAAGTATTTATGAGTTACTACCATATAAGAAGAACTGTTTAACATTTTTTCAACTATAGTTTCATAAATAAAAAGTGATAGTTGAATAAGAATATAGAAACAAAAAGTATAACATCTGCCTCATTTTGAAAATATATTTTTGGCCAGGTATGGTGTCCCACACCTGTAAGCCTAGTACTTTGGAAGGCTGAGGCAGGAGGATTGCTTGAGCCCAGGAATTTGAAACCAGCCTGAACAACATAGGGAGACACTGTCTCAACAAAAATTTTAAAAAACTAGCCAGGAGTGGTGGTGTGCCTGCTGCTGGTGGGAGAATTGCTTGAGCCCAGGACGTCAATGCGGCAGTGAGCAGTTATTGAGCCACTGCATTCCCGCCTGGGCCACAGGGTGAGAACTTGTATCTGGAAAAAAAAAAAAAAAAGAAGAAGAAGAAGAACTATATTCTTCAAGAGTAGAGATTCTAATCGTTACATTGCTTAACTTTTTCACTATTTCATCTCTTGACATATCTAAGCTTACCTCCATAGCAATGTTTCCCACTTTTAATGACATTTTCCCCATAATCCACTACCAAGAAAAAAAAAATTGTGAAATAGGTTATGGTAGCTGGGAATTATTGCCAGGTACCTGGAGATTATACTTCAAAGTCCAGGGGCTCTATACTTCAAAGTCCAGGGGCTCTTGGAAAGCCATTTGAATTTAAAGGGAAATACATACAATCTGGAACTCCAAACTTCCACTGAGTCATTCTAATGATGTATCACTGAGGTGTTAACAGGTAGGCTGCAAAATGAAACTTTAACCTCATCCTTCATCTCCATTCCTTTCCTCTCTCTTTCATTCTCTCTCTTTGGCTTCTCAGAAACATGGACTTACAGGGTGAGAAATAAGCCTGCTCTTCTCTTTGCAATTCATATGGAATTCTACTTCTGTTTGACCCTTTCTGGCTCACTGATTACCATTTACAATATAACATAAGCCAATAGATTAATTAATTTTTCTCCTGATCAGTGAGACAAGAGTTAAAATTAGGATTTGAAAAATAAACAAAAGAGTCTTAAAATATTTACCTGCATTTTAAACAATAGTTGTTTGTTTTCCACATATATATGTTGAAAATATGTATATATACACATATTTTTTACAAGAAATCCCTAAAATTTTTGAAAATTTTTTTAGATAAACTTGGAATTGTGCTTTCTCTGTCTCAGTCTTATTAAATAAGATCATGTATTTGTAGCATTGAGTATAGTATCTTTCCTTCTTTGTTGCATGTAGTTGTCATTTTTTAGCCATATACTCTATTTATGTCTTCAAATTTACACTCAGTCTAGTAAGACCTGTTAGCCTGAGTCTATAGAGTCTTTATAGACAATTTATCTTGTCTATAAAAATAGCTGACGTTTAGAATATTTAGACTAAAATTATTGATCCTGATTTCTAGTTCCTAACATTCAACTTCATATTGCATTTCTGGGAACTACCTGAGGTTTCACACCTTCCCACGGTGTTTGCTAAACAGCACTTATTAAACCCCTTCTAGGGCAAGGGACAGGACAAAGGACTAGCACAGTACATATATATATATATATGACATGGCATCCTTCTGGAAGATGCAGAATCAGTAGACAGTTATTGAATGTTCACTGTGTTCCAGATCCTAGCAGCTTCATTTTACTACATTTAACTTAAAATCTAGTAGTAAAGGCCAGGTGCGGTGGCTCACGCCTGTAATGCCAGTACTTTGGGAGGCCAAGGCGGGCGGATCACCAGAGGTCAGGAGTTCGAGACCAGCCTGACCAACAAGGAGAAACACCGTCTGTACTAAAAATACAAAAAATTAGCCGGGCGTGGTGGCGTATGCCTGTAATCCCAGCTACTTAGGCGGCTGAGGCAGGAGAATCGCTTGAGCCTGGGAGGTAGAGGTTGCAGTGAGCTGAGATTGCGCCATTGCACTGCAGCCTGGGTAACAAGAGTAAAACTCCATCTCAAAAAAAAAAAAAAAAAAAAAAAAAATCTAGTAGTAGAAGTGAGAAAAAGATGACACTTTTGAAAACTCTGCTAAAGAAAAAACTTGTGAGGCTAGAGAATCAAAGAAGATCTCCTAAAAACAAAACTTTTTTTAAAAAAGATGGAATGATCTGCAAATGGTAGAATTACTAAAAAAGATAAAAGATACTTCTGAAACAAGGTTGATTTCTAATGACCTTCAAATCACACACATAGCAGCTGTTACTATTTCTATCCATAACGCGAATCTATCCATAAGACTTATGTTGTCTTATTTTTAAAATTTCTTTTTTAATATTTTAATTT